CCGAGGACGTGCTGGTGTCGAATCTAAAAAGGCCCACAATTGTTTAAACCTCGTCGCCGAGGGAACCTGACAGTGCTGCATTGCGAGCCTCGAAGATTGTTGGGTGCATGAGCTGGAAATAGTTGGAACTATTCGGATTTTGCAATTTGTGATTGCGCATTGCTGCACCTAGCCGTTGCAGAGCAGCACTCGGAAGGAGCCTCGACAGTTTCATCCCTAGCTCCACCCCCTCTCCCGGGCTGTTCGCAAAAAGCCAGCAACACCCAAACCACCTGCCGTGCTGATCGGTGCTGGTGTACACGGGTGCAGACAAGGAAGTGCTGCATGCTTCATGTCTGCATGCCGATTTTGTGGCTCCAGCATTTTGCACTAGAACACCACGCCAGCTTAGCAAGTGCTGATTCAACGCCATATATAAGCTATGGTGAGCCCGGCTATGCTCCCTAAACCCTAAACCCTAAACCCCCCTAAAACCTAGACCCTACAAATCCTAAACCCTAAACCCTACAAACCCTAAACCCTGAACCCTATAAACCCTTAACCTTAAAAACCCTAAACCCTAAAAACCCTAAACCTTATAAACACTACACCCTAAAAAAAGGTCAAATCACTACAGCGCGTGGCATCCGGATCAGCCTCGCAGCTTTGGCCGCGTGTGCAGGGAGGTGCCGATGAAGGTGATCGCGAAGAATGCTCCTGCGGACTGGCGGTGCCCATGCTGCCGGCTGGCGGTGCCCCGGGGTGAGTTGGAGAAGGTGTCCAGAGTTTCTTGGGATCGCGCCCGGGCAGCTCACCGGCTGAAGGCTCACCCGGAGCTCTCAAGAGAGGACTTTGCCAAGAGATGTCGGGCGGCTGGGGTGCGGTCGGCTGGCAATATCATGAAGCGTCGCGTTGACGTCTTGAACCGTCATCAGGCCAAGCGGCAGGCAAGTGGCAGCATGTCTTCTGCGTCTGGGGGATTGGCTGGCTTTGTGAGCTTTACGTGGCCCATGCTGGGGAAGAACACGAAGAAGGAACCCAAGCTTGCGTTGCATGCTGCGTGGCGGTGCCGCCGTTGCCATCGTTGTTTCCACGATGCCAAGCATGCTCGTCGGCACCAGTGTGGTAAAGCGGTTACCAAGGGCAATAAGGGCAGGCTCAAGCGTCTCAAGAAGCTTCGACGCCAGGCCAAGCAGCTCAAACATGGCATGACGGAGGACCTCCTGGAGCGGACTTTCGACGCTGCTCAGCGGATGCTCGGCGGCGAGGACTTGACCCCATGATTGGCTTCGCGACGCTCAATGTGCAGGGTGCTGGCGATGCTAAGGTCCATTGGTTGGCGGACCTTTTCTTTGATGATGAATTCCCGATCGATGTGCTTGCGGTTCAGGAGCTCAACCTTGACTTGCACTCGGCAGCTTCCTTCGTGGCCATCTTGAAGGATCGGGGTTTGCATGTTTTCCTCAGTGCTGAGGATGGTGGTGTGTATAGGTGCGCCATCTTGGCAAAGTTCGCGGGCGTGTCGATCGGCATGAACAGTGGTCGGTTGGCTGGTGCCGCTTTTGAGTTTTGTTGCCGAGGCGATATCGTCAAAGTGGCGATCGCCTCCTACTATGGCTGTGTGTGGGATTCCACGGTGGCTTCGAATGGTGCTCTCGAGGCCATCGAGACTTTGCGGTCGACTCGTTTGGCTTGGGTGTTGCTGGGCGACTACAACCTTGAGGCTTCTTCGGAGCCATTCGCTTCCCACCTTGCCCGCGGTTGTGCGACTCCTTGGGATATGGACTTCGAGCTGGGGGATTCACTGCCTGGCACCAGGGAATCGGGGCGGAGGATTGATTTTGCTGTTGGATGTGGTTACTTGGTGCCTGGCGGGCTTCGGCAGCGCTGGGTCTTCTCGGACCACGCCGAGGTGTGCTATGATGTGGACATTGGTGCTCCCGGCGGCTCCCGGGCTCCTTCTTTCTGTGAGCTTCGCAAGGACCAGGTGTCGTTGGACGAATGGGCTGTGAGGTGGGATGATGCGGCCTTCCGGGCCGCTCTGGCCTTGCGGGATGTGAACACCGCTTGGCGCCTGGTTTCGGACACGGCGGAGGACGTGCTTCGGTGCCCGGGGGCGATCGGTTGCCGGCGGTCTGCGAGGTGGCAGCCTTCTGCTCGCCAGCCTCCTCGGAGCAAGGCTGGCCCAACCAAGGAGCCTTTGGTGTTGGTGCGACTTCGGCGGCTTGAGCGGCGCCTACGTCAACTTGCCAAGCAGCCTGGCGACCAGCGACTTCGCGATAAGGCTTCTCGGCTACTTTGCGAGCTCCTGGCCACCTGCTCGTGGCTTGATGCTGTCCCTTACTTTGAGATGGAGCACTGGGCTGACTTTGTGGCTGAGCACATTGGTCGCATGGAGAAGGACCAGAAGGAGGCGGCTTTGGCGGCTTGGCGCCGGCGCATGGAGGAGTCTGAGGGCAAGGTCATTGCTTGGATTCGCCAGCGCAACCAGCTTAAGGTGGAGTTGGAGCGACCCCGCGTGCCGCCGGATGAGGTGCCTAACCTTCGTGCGGTACATCCTGTCCGGGTGCTTCAGGCCGCGGAGACGGATTGGATGGAATTGTGGGGCCGGGATGGGACGACGGGCCGGGTGCCTGCTCGTCTCCAGGCCTTGCCCTCCTTTCCTGAGTTTCAGTGGCAGCCGACCTTTGATGCTGAGGCCCTGCGTAAGGCTGGCAAGGCCATGGCCACGAAAGCTGCGGGGCCCGACGGCTGGACCACGGCCCAGTGGTGCCAGCTGCCACTGCCCTTTTGGCAGGCTCTCGCTGATGTGTGGACGGTGGTCATTGCTGGCTTTGTGGAGGAGAGGGCGAGTGGTCATGATCCCGAAGGCGAGCTCTGGCTACCGGCCTCTCACTGTGTTGTCGTGTGCTTGGAGCGTGGGTGCTCGGGTACTCGTTGGCCAGCTGAAGGATTGGGTGGATGTCTGGGCCTCTCACCGGGTCCTCGGAGGAGTCCATAGCCGGGGGGTTCGCGACAACTACCTCAGGATACTCGACTCCCTCGACACTGACCAGGCCTACATCCAAATATTTTGACGGGATCCGGCACGAGGACTTGCAGGCTTCCTTGCGGCATGTTGGTGCACCCCCGGCTTTGATGCGCTTGCTTGCTAGCTTTCAGAGTGATCAGTGGAGGCTGTTTACGCATCAGGGCATGTGCGGCGGAGCCTGGTGTAAGATTGCCTGTGGCATTCCTCAGGGGTGCCCGTTGTCACCCATGTTGGCGGGCGTGGTGATGTCGCTATGGTCGCGGCATGTGGAGGCTGATGGTGGTGGCACTGACGCGCTTCCTTCTGCGGGTGATGGTCACGGCGGTGGCGGGGTGGTGCAGACCAGCTCCTTCGTTGATGACAGATTGGTGTGGTCGGCTTCCATCAGTTCGTTGGCTGCGGCCCATGATCGCAGCGCCACCTTTGACCTCGCCTACGGCTTTCGCTGCGATGCTGCTAAATGCAAGTTGGCATGTCGTGTGCCTTCGACGGCTTCTGGTGCCTTGGCGGCTTCATTGGGCTATGAGGAGTCGGATCGCCTGGCCCTCCTTGGGTTGGTGATTCCCTTGAATCGTGCTGAAGCTCCGTCCCTTCGTGACTTCGACGTCCTCAAGGCTCGGCGGCGGCTTCGGTTGATTGCTGTTGCAGCGGCGACTGGCCTGCAGTTTAAGCGGCGCCTCATGGGCATTCTGGTGGTGCCGATGATGACCTGGGCTGGAGGCTATGCTTCGGTTTCGTCCGGTGAGCTGGAGGCCTTGGCGGCGGACTTTCGGTGGTTGCTACACAAGGACCTTTCTCATGACACGCCTCCGGTGTTGCGTTACGAGATTGTCGACTGGGAGGTGCATCCTGGCTATGCTCGTGATTTCGCTGCTTTGCGATGTGAGCATTGATCTAAAGGTCCTTGTGGCTGTATTTATACAAAACGATCACGGGCATAACATGACATGCCAGCGCGAAAGTTGCGCGATGGGTCCGCTAAAGAAAATTATTTGTTTGCTAAAGTTATTGCGTTAGCATACTCCCGACTCTTACTACTACTGCTACTACTACTACTACTACTACTACTACTACTACTACTACTCCTACTCCTACTGCTAGTACCAGTACTAGCAACTGCACTAATATGGATACTTGTATTAGTACTAGTACTGGCACTGCTCCTGCTATTGCTACTGTTACTGCTACTCCTACTTCTGCTGCTACTACTACTACTACTACTACTACTACTACTACCGCTGCTGCTGCTGCTGCTCCTACTACGGCGACGACTACGACGACGACTACTACTTCTACTACTACGTTTTAGCACGACATGTCAAACGAACCACGCAGCAGGCTCCAGGCAGATGCCAAAATGTGGTGTGGCTAGTGCGTGTAGCGCGAAAGATCCGCTAAAGTTCCGCGCAAGTCGCGTGAAAGTCGAGGTTGCCATATCAAGGCAACGGCCCATTGTTGTTTCTACGGCTACTACTGGCGCATACCACGACGAGCACTAGCATTCACAGTAGCACTAGCACTGTACTACAGCGGGGAGCATGGACGTAGTTGTTAATTACCAGTTTTTTCCAGGCGTTGAGGGCTAATTTCTAGGTTTCCGGAACTGGATTTGCGGGTGTTGGAGTGGAGCTGTCAGGTGTGCTGGTTTGCTTGAACCCAAGACCTACCGTAATCCTTGTGTCTCGAACCTTTAACAGGCCTCAACCTTAGCCACGCACCTTACAAGCCGAACGTTAAACCCTAAACCCTAACATGGGACCACATCTAAAACGTACCAAAACGCTGAAAGGGTTCTTATAGAGCTTGTAAAAATCCCTCATAGAACTCTGGTATATTAGTATCAACATATACTTGAATATGTGTCCGCGAAAGGGCGCGCGAAAGTTACGCTAAAGAAAATTATATTTTCGTGAAGAAGATCATTCGGGGATATATTAATTTAGATCAACGCTCATGTGCTGTTGGCCTTCACTGCCGGGTTCCGGCTTGGATGGAGGAGGCTTCGGTGCGATTCGCCAGCAAGCGGTGGCCTGCTCTGCTTCCCCCGATTGTGGCGACTCTGGAGGCTTTGGGCTGGTGGTGTGACGAGCGCGGCGCCTTCATCTACCGGCGTGACTCCTGCGACCACGTCCGGGCCTTCGAAGTGGGAGTGGGCTCCATTGACGTGTTGGCCGAGTGGCTGCGGGATGTGTATCGTCGGCGGGAGCTTGCTAGGTGTGGCCGGGTGACCAAGGCGTTGCATCGGGAGGAGGATGGCTTGGCTCAGGGTCTGGTGCTTTCTGCTCCGGCGGCGGGGACCCTAGCGGTGTTTCGCCGGACACAAGTGGGCGTGGCGTGGCTCTTCGTCTACAGTGGAGAGGCGCTGTGCTTTGGTGACTGGCTGCTCGGCTTGGCATAAGCATCGGAAGTTGCCACGTGGCCAGCCGGTGCCCAACTGTCTGTGTGGTGGGCGGCTCCCGTCAAGGCCGCATTTGATGTGGAATTGCGAGGCAACCTCTGATTTGGTGAGCCACCTGCGTGCTCCTGGGCATCGCTTGGAAGAGAGGCTCCTGGCCCATGCGGTTCCCGAGTTCCCCTTGGCCCCGGTTGTGGTTGACTACGAGGACATGCTGGACTCCATTGCGGAAACCCTGGACAAGCGACTTGTGGAGGACAGACCCCTGTTCGTTGCTACGGATGGCAGTCTTGTGGACTCTGTTGCAGCTTGGGGCTTGGCTCTGGACGGCGAAACTTCTTTCTCGCTGAACCTTGGTGGCGAGGACCAGTCGGCCCATCGTGCGGAGGTGGATGGACTCCTGGCTGTGGCTCTAGCTCTGGGCCGATGTCAGCAAAGAGGCACGGTGCACATCCTTGCTGACTGTCAGTCTGCGCTTGCGGTAGTTGACGGTGGAGGTCAGACACCCTTGTTGGCTGCCAGGGCTCTTGCTGCCTTTGCAGCCCTTCGTGGCAGGATTGACGTGCAGAAGTGGTGGGTGCCTTCGCATGGTAAACCAGCGCCTCCTCGATGGCGCTGCCCTCCATGTGGCGAGATGCTTGCGAGGGCTCTGAATGCCCATGCTGACAGAGCTGCGAAGAGCTGTGCTACGAGATGCAGTGCTGGGTCGGGACGTCAAGCTTGCGTGCGTGCTCGAGAGGTTGCCTTTGAGTGGGAGAAGCAGGTCCACTTGGCCTTCCGCCGGGTGGCCACGCGTTGGGCCGAGGCCTAGATGAGTCTGCGACGGACGGCTATGACATCGGCATCATGCTGTTCATCTTTCCCAAAAAAAAAGCTTCCAGTATATGATGCAGAACTTCAACCACGAGCGCTTCGCCTTCTGCGCCATGAGCACGCGCTTCGCCCGAGTTTGCTTGGAAGACTCCCTGAAGTTTGCCGGCAAGCGAAAGACCTTCGGCAAGACCCTGATCCAACACCCGGTGATTCGCTGGAAGGTGGCAGAAATGGCCCGCATGATTGAAGCAACCCACAACTGGCTGGAATGGACCACCTTCCAGTTGAACACTATGCCGAAGATGGAGGCAATGCTGAAGCTGGGGCGGACACACGGCCCTCTGCAAGGTCCAGTGCACCAAGGCCCAGGCCAAAAAACATGTCTGACCTCGGGCCTCGCCTTGCCTTTGTTGCCTTTGAGCAGGTCATGGAGTACTGCGCTCGAGAGGCCGCCCAGATCTTCGGAGGCTTGTCCTATTCGCGCGGAGGTCAGGGAGAGAAGGTCGAGCGGCTGAACCGCGAAGTGCGAGCGATGGCCATCCCTGGAGGCTGCTTGTCTGAAGCTGGGGCCTCAGGGACATTCCACGGCCCTGGTACTGTCCAAGGCTCTGAGGAGATCATGCTGGACTTGGGCGTGAAGCAGTCCACCAAGCTGGCTCAGATGGCGAAGATGTTTGCAGAGGCCGCGCCGCAGCAGGCCCCGGCCAAGCTCTGATCCGAGGACGTGCTGGTCAAAAGCTTCTACAGACACTTTTGAGATCAGCAGTTCTGTAAGCACTGGCGGAGTAGTCTGTTGCAGGGTTGACGAAGTTGCTGCGTGGCATATGCCAGGAAAGTCTGGCGGCATGCCGGAAACGCTGCTGACGTGTCGGTTTGGAGTCGTTTCGGTGGACGGGTTGTCGTGAGAGGCTGTACAGAACAAGGGAGGAACCTTGAACAGCGACCGGCGAAGAGCCATTCCATGGCGCTGTAGGTGCTTCCTTGTGACTCGACATAGGCGACTTAGATTTCGACTCTGTCCAATGGCGAGAATCCGGCAAAAAGGACATTTGTCTGCAGTGTTTCAATGTGTTTCAGGTCAGACTTTGCAAGACAAGGACAGTACCATCTTGCGATGGAGCCTGTCGGAGCAACAGGCAATCCTTCCAGATGCAGCCTGTGCAGGCTCAAAGATCGCCAGCATTTTGATTTGACCAGCCGCCCACATGGAACCGCAGCTTTGCAGCAGTTTTGATGCACGGCCTGTCGTTGCGCCGTGCTGTTGTGTCCACGCAGGTCTCGGAGCAACAGCGGCTACTGGTCGGCTGACACCTGGGATCCAGACCTGCGGGTTTATGCAGGAGCCGACATCTTCCACACACACCAGTTTGCGGTCGAGCCAGATCAAAGAAAGGCTGTTCAAAACGAGCCAGCTCAACCACGTCTCAGGACCGCCGGGTTTTCGATGTCATAAGACACAATCAAACTCCGAGCCACCCCGGTTCAACTCTTCTGCGCCCTGTGTCTCAGGGAACGCCAAGATTCTGCTGGGTACTGGGGCGCGCTGGAGAGTGATGCGACCAGAGAGGTGCAAATCGGCAGCCTGCATGCAGACAAAGAAACAGCTCGGCGAGCTGTGAGGGTCTCCTTTGACGAGGGTGCCGCAGAGAGCGCCCCTGACAAGTCGGCAGAGTGTGACCAGAACGGCTTGGTAAGGAAGAGCAGCGATTATTGGAATTCGTCCAACTGGGACTTTGATCGTAATGTCCCATTGAGGGCCCAGGAAATCACAACTCCCACTACCGAAGCTTCCAGCACCCTTTCCAGGAAAGGAAGCAATGCTTACTGGGATGCCGACCAATGGGATCCGGATCAACGGGTGTATGTGGGAGCCGAAGCAGGCCAGACCATGCACCGCACGGCCGTCATTGACGACCATGAGGACAAGCTGCTTCGTGCATGGGCTGGAGGCCTGACTTGCGAGGACTATGGGGGAAGCACGGCACCCACCCTGGACCTAGCCACTGGCACAGAACCCCCAGCACTCAAAGACTTGTACGATGTCACGGCAGACTCGGTGGGATCTGGAAGTTTTGGAGTTGTTTTTCTCGCTCGGCACTGCAAGTCGGACAAGCCCTGCGTAGTCAAAAGTACGAAGAAGGCCCAGTGCGGCTCTGCTTTCAAATCACAAGTGGAAGGTGGACTTTACGAGTCTCTTTTGGATATGTCAAGAAGGGCTCCGCACGAGAATATCGTCCAGTACCTCGACGCCCTTGAAAGCAATGATCACTACTACGTTATCATGGAGAACCTTCGGGGTCCAGAGCTTTTGGAGAAAATGGAGCGTGAGTTCCCCATCACCGAAAGACACTGTCAGGAGGTCATGAGGGAAGTCTTGTCAGCGCTGGCACACATCCACGACGTCGTAAACATCTGTCATCGGGACATCAAGCAGCACGACCCTGACAGCCTGACAGCTTCTTTCGGGGACCTGCTTATTGAGAAGCCCGCGATTAATTCAAATCAAGTGCAACTAAGGCTTGATAACTTCCGATACCGAAGTCCTGAACCCGGTGCGCCTTTGGTTCTGCTGGACTTCGGCTTCCTTGCTCGCTTGGATCAGCCTTGGGACGGCAAGAAATGCGGCACACGTGGCTCGGAAGCACGTCAGCTCAGTTCTTTGAAGGCAGCCCTCGAGACGCTGTGCACTCCTGCGCGTCGCGTGAAGGCATGTTCATGGCTCCGGAAATATTCCAAGAAAGCGTCCAACAGTCGCAGATGCCGGCGATGGACATGTGGGCAGCAGGAGTGCTGCTGCATCTTGTCTCAAGTAATTACTGTACTACATGTCAAGCTTTTGGGGAGACCATGTTTGCTTTGCGAGAGAGTAGGTACCTCCTCTTCACCGGCGACTGCCCGGTCCAGCAGGAGGACATGCCAAAGATGAAAGGAACAGAGCCAGAGAGCCAAGACATCGTGCTCAAGGCGCAGATTTCGGCCCGGCAGTTGTCATTGCAGCTGCTACTTGTAGCACCGCTAGTCACTGACAGGCCTTGCAAGCCGACTTGTTGAAGTCGGTCTCTGCAGAGGCAGCGCGCACACGGCATGGGCACGGCATGGGCATGGGTTTGCAGAACGCCCAGCTTCAGGCGAGACAACTCCTGGAGAAGCTTCTAGATTTGGAGGTGCGACTTGCTTCCGTTGAGTTACGAGGGGCGAGGTCTTCCTGTCAGGCTTCGGAGCGCCTCCGTTCAGCCGACGCATTGAAGCACCAATGGCGGCCCGGCTTGGCTGGGGAAATCTGATCGGGTGCAGTCTTGGCCCAGCACGTCAGCTCAGGCTGTGCATGGATCTGGATGGTGGGGCTCGAGCTGTGCCAGCTCACAGGGAAGCTTACCGGCGCATGGCCAGCAAGAGCATGAAAGAGGCTGGGCTTCGAGGCAAAAGTGACGAAGTGGCCCAAGAAGAGAAACTGCCCCAGGCGGACATCGATTCTTGAACCGCCGGCGTGTGTTTGCTGGAGTCTGCACGGCGTGTGCTGTCCAGATAACCGTCTAGCGGCTCGTCCATTCTGCCGCACAGTGGACAAACAGACTCCAAGAGTCTCTGTTCATAAACAGCTCCACGGACCGAGCACCAGACATTTACTCTTCGTCCTGCCTCGGCTCGGCAATCTCACCTTTCAGCCTGTGGCAATGACCCTGATACATGCACCTGCGGACCACAAGCTGCTCAGGCAGCTTTCGCTTCTGGATTCCCGAGCTGATCTTTTAAGCCATTTGAGTTTCAAGCTTTCGGCAGCATCGGCGTCAACAGTTGCGTCGCTTTCTTCGTGCTGCCTTGTAAATATATGTAGTCTGTGACGAAGAACTTATGATCTGTGAGCTTGCAGTGTAGCGGCCGGTTTTTAGCGTTCGGCTACGCGCCAGTCGCCGTTCCCCAGACAGCGAATCCTAGTCTCCAAGAAGATAAGAAGAACAGTGAAGCCGTGATTTGTCATTGTTTGTGGCGACCAGCATGAGCCGAGCCTGACTCTTTTATCTATCTCGGAGGAGCGAACATGCGTAGGCCAAGACTGCGAACTCAGCTTGGTCTGCAAGTCTGCTGAGTCTGTTCCACCACACTTCGCCGTGCTGGGATTGCTTGCAGCAAAGGGAAAAGAGCCGTGTGACTCCGTACCTCCTTTCGTGAGAAGCCCTCGTTCCTTATTCCGAGCTTTGTGGGTGTGAGAGTGTTGCCGTCATCTTTCTCGAGGCAGCTGGCAGGTTGTGCGAACACGGACCGACATTATCACGGCGGGCGCACAGGGGTGGGGAGGGGGAGGAGAATCGCAGGCCGCAGCTGGCCTTTGAGGCTGTCGACTACTTGTGCCCAGAGGGCAACATCAGAGCCGGTGCGTTGAAAACTGCCTCACTCCGTGATCGCTGTTGGATCAAGTGGCCCTTAAGAAATGTGGCGGGCCACTGGAGCCACAGAGCTCTGATGATCCTTTGCACGATCGCAGCGGACGCATCGTCCCCGTGACAGCCTCAGGTGCCGTGGATCCCGTGGTATCTCGTGATGACGCCGTCTTTGCAGCAAAATCTTGTCGGGCCGAGGTAGGAGATAGCCGAGAAGATGGGCAAACGAGGCCACCTGAGTCTGATGATGTTTCGATCACGACGAAGTGTCTCCGTCTGCAGACATCGACAGCGACGACGATGATGGAGGCTCCGACACGCCGAACAAGTGTTTCTAAAGCAATCTCAAATGTTGTCTCACGACATGTGCAGCAAGCCTGCATTCGCGCAAGGGTGCTTCATTTCGTGTGTGGAGGGGCTGCTGTGACACTGCCGCATCAGATGAGTGGAGCAAGATTTGCGAAGGCAAGAGGAGAAAAGGTGGATTCTCGGATCGCCGAGGACTCAGTCCAGAGAACTGCAGACCCAACGATGCTTGTAAAGTCAACTGCCCGTCTTTCCAACACCTCTCAGATGCACCACCGGACGATGGCCAGTCTGCTGAAATCCAGAACCGGCTCTTAGATGTATTGGAACGCTCGAGCAGTTTCAAGCTGTGGCAGTCGGCAAGTGGGCATCGCACTCGGCAAGGGGGGTATCGCTTTCGTAAGGCTGGACCACATGCTCGCCGGTGGAGCAGGGCTTGGCGGGCCACGGCCCCGACAACTCTCGCGGACGAGTGCAGCACAGGATTTTTTCTCGACCTTTGCAGGATCGGCTTGGGTGGAGTTGGAGTGGGCCTGGGCATGGGCAACATGGGCATGCCCAGCATGGCGCCCACACCCGGCCTGTCAGCTCCAGGCTTGGACCTTTGCTCGTGTCTTCTCGCATCTTGTCGTGTCTTGTCGTGCTTTCGAAGGTGGTGCCGTGCCGGACCAGCGCCTGCAGGGTATGAAAAGCAGTGGTCCTCGTCCTGAAGCCGTGGGAGTGTTTTCAGCTGGCAGGATTTGGATCCATTGAAGCCAGCCACTACTCCCATGGACTTCTCCAAGCTTGGAGCAAATATGCCCAGCCCTGCACTCACGCTACAAATCTAGCTTTGCCTGCGTTGCTACTGGTTGGACAGCTCTAGCTGACATCTTCTGAAGTAAATAAGCTCCAGGTCAAGAGTTCCCTGTCCCGCGAGACATGGTGGCTGCTCGTCCCGAAAGAAACAAAGGCTTGTAGTTGACCATGCGCACTTTGAGAGCGTGCGCGGACAGGAGTACTTGATGACACCTGAACACCGGCAGATTCTCCTCGAGGAGCGCAAACCCATAGCCATAACCATGGCATCGCCGTCATGTGCAGGAAACAGGCTGTGATGTCGACTGGGCGCCCGACGAGTCCAAGGCCTTCTGCCATTGTCGCTGGACTCGGATTTCCGCAAGGCTTCCCCTGATCTGCTGTTGCATGTGTATATATGTGTGGCTCGATTGGCGGACACGTCATGATACAGCAGCAGTCAAGATCTGCGTAATGAGGAGTTGACCTGTAGTTGGCACTCCAGATGCGTTCAAAAAAACATTCTGGCAACCAGTGCTTGAGGATGGTGGTAGCAAAGTGCATGCCTGCCGAGTGGCGCATGAGCCCATGTCGCCAAATGCGCTGGCAAACCATGTGAACGTACATGCTGCTGTACTGCCACGGGCTGTGCCTTTGGTGAGCATACAACAGGTGTTCCAAACTTGCATCGCAGAAAGGCTGTGAGCTGCCACATCGGGCCACATCTATATATGGTCCTGGCTCCCGAGGCTCTTGCTGTTTTGTACATCACACGCTCAGCACCAGACCCCTGACGAGCTGACGCGAGACGTGGAGCGGGCGAGAGATGAAGCCGCTGTTGCCTTTATATGGGCCGAGAGCCGTTTTGTACTAGCACGGGCAAGCAGAAGGTTTCAGCATGCCTGCGTGGGTGCGAGGTATGCGAGTGGTGGCAGCAGTACCAGCGCCTTTTCCGAAAGCATTGGCAGACAGCCAACCGTGCTGAACGGCGAGCACATCTCTTTGAGACTGTGCCATTGCTGCCCAAGGCTTCCAACAACTACATCCCACCTGCCGCATGCTTCCAATTTAGCTTCACCCTTCCTGCTCTGCGCGAGGCCAGATCTCATCCGTGGCTTGGCATGACGATGTCCTCTGGAGTCGCAGTTCTGACTGCTCTCCTTCTCAGGCGCACTCTTACGGGTGAAGATGCGGAAGGATTCTCTGACCTATGTCCCGAACTTAACTTGGAAGACCTTTCCGCAGATCCGCATGCGGCTTGGTCTGCAAACAAGTGGCATAAGGTGTTGCTTTTTGTTGTAGTTGTTTTCGTTTGCCGCATGCCGGTGTGTATGTCCGGGTGCGGGTTCCCGTGTGCATGTGCATGCATGTCAGTGTATGTGTCAAACTTCTCTAAGTTTTTCCAAGAGTGCTAGGTAATTTCGGCCTGGTGCAGTGAAGCTCCAGTCACACTACATTAGGATATGGTCGAGGGACACCTTGACCAATTACCTGGAGTCTCGTATACGCTTGTGACGTCATAAACCGGAGAGTTTCGCTGTGCATGCTTCTACACTCTCTTGTGATTACACTGAGTCAAAGATGGCGATGGGCCAAGCCAAGAAACCCCAACATGTGATGACACCTGAAAGTGTGTTTGGATCTGGAGGCACGGTTGTGTCAAAAGTGTGTGCGTGTGTGTGTCATACCCCAAATTTCAAGTGACAGGGGACCAGGTACACATGTCCTGCAGAGGCTCATTGGTGTAGATTTCGATGCCCGAAGACGACACAACTGGTGTGTTTGCAAAACGAAGCACGGCATGGGTGTCAGCGAAACGGTGCCAGACAGCCCGGGGATGCAGGCATGAACTCAGCCCAGCATGTTGAACAGGATCGTTTCCGTTTTCGCTTGGCTGCCTGAGCTTCCACCCAGATCGCGATACCATATTGCACAAGTGCACACAGACGGACCTCCATTTCTCATTTGCCAGCCGGCAAGCCAAGGTGCTCTTGGATGTTCTGGACATGTGGCGGTCTCAGCGAGTGAAAAATACTGATACTGCCAGGAAATGGTTGGCCAGCAAAGACAGTCATAGCAAGGTTTGTGAAAAGTCTAAAGCAGCAGCCAATTGAGTCTACCATCTTGTATCCTCAAGAAACATCGGTTCCACACTGTGCCACGAGAAGTCCAATGGTGCCGGTAATTAGCATAAGTGCGATGCTGGTGGCTTCGTAGCAATGAGTATTTGAATATCCTGCAGCTGAGGCGGTGCCACGCGGACATGGCTGTGCAGAGAAAAGCTCAAGACGACGACCTTGCGACTCTTGTCACAGATGTATACAGCTGCGCAAGATAGAAGTCCAACAATTGAATACGGCTGCCGTTCACCAGGTTGTCGCGGGCGCTGGCCGGCCGGAAGTCGCGGCAAAGATCTGGCCTTGTTCGGAAGCTCTTTTACCTGAGAGACACTGGAAGCATGAGACGGGGTGAATGATGGGCACGGTGTGCATGTCTCACAGTGATTCAAAGGCTGTTTGCAGCTGCCTGAGGACCCAGTGACCACGACTGTCACGGGGCCTCTTCAAGGTCAGGGAGAGGAGGACTCGGCGTGGAAGTCGCGAGCGTCCGACTTGGTCATGGAGTCGGAGATCTGGTGGACTGTCCTCTTCCGCCAACATTCGATCTACACCATGTTATCGAATGTGTTGAAGGACAGGGCTCTATTTTTTGTGTGGAAATTTCTTTTCGCAATGTGCAGTCACACGCAAGATGCCCTGGCATCTCGGCAGGAGCACTTCGAAGTTCAGGGACTTCAAGGGTATCTTGAGCCTCAGTCAGAGATGGGCCCACAGACGGGAGATGTAGACGATCTGAACGACAGCCGCCTCGAGTGAAAACATGATTGTTTTACCAATTTTGCGACGGTGACACCAGCTTCCCCAGATTTTGTTCATTGCTGGCTGGTGCTCCCCAGTCGAGTTCAGCTCAGCCAGGCTATGACTGGCTAGAGGATGCAGCGATCTGGTGCAGTGCAGTGGTGCTGCTTTGCCTGTTGGCTTGGCTTGTCTTCACTTGGTATCGCGGAGATGCTGCACTTGGACCTCCTCGGGACTTGTGCTGTCCGATGTCGCTAGAGTTGTTCACAGATCCTGTGGTGGCTGCGGACGGTGAGACTTACGAGCGCCTTGGTAGGATAGCGCGAACAGCTGCTGCAGTTGTTCACTCGTTGTCTTTCACATGATTCCGGCATCATGTTATGTCGGCTGAGGCGGTGGTGGATCGAAAAATGGATCCTCGAGAAGTCACCAGAAGTCAGACCTCGTCAAGGCACAGGTGTGATTTCGCCAATGGGCCATGGCATTCTCAGCCATACGAAATTGGTGAGCAATCAGACGGTGCGCCGATTGGCCAACCAGTGGCGGGAAAAGAACGTGAAGATGGACTGACCTACGGCGTCCTTCAGTGGAGGACTCCACCATCGCAGAGCTGCTGGGACACCGTGCATCTCATGATCTCATCAGCCACCTGTGCATGAGATTCCTTGAGACTGTCCAAACCGTTCGGAGCAGAACACAGCCCTGCAGTGCGTCACCATCGTCCGACTTATGCAGAAGGCATGTGACATCTGTGATGTCTGTAAGGCGTTCGTGGAGCAGCAACTTGGGATCAAGGATGCATGAATGCGAAAAGCCTGCGGGCGGAACATGCACTTAAGGAGGCCACACATGCAGACTGCAATGTAGAATTGATGCAGCGTCGTGTTCATTGCCATGGCGGCCCCGAGCGGCCAGGGCCGTTGGATGCAAAGTGCTGTCGGCTTTGGGGGCTATCCGGCGACTTGGCTCTCCCAAAGCAAGACGGGTTTGACGAATAGCGCGGGAAGGGTACGCTGAAAAGTTTGCAGTGTGGAACGTCGAGAACGTCGGGCACGTGGTGCGAAGGAGCATGAACACGGGCGACCTTTGTATACGCTCCTTACCAATACATGTTTTCCGTGGAACAACTCATCTCGATCATAGGATCTCCTAGCGTTTCCAAGTTGGGCATCGTCCGTGCTCGTCAACATCTTAAGCAGTGCTGTGGATGGATTCATGTCAGACTTGACGGCATGGCTCTGGCAACATGTTCCTTGCCAGGTCTTCACCATGATTCCACTTGAGCGCACACTGTGGAAGGCCGCATGCGGCCGAAAGTGCACTAAGGAATTTCAGAACCGACGGCTCCGGTACAACAAAGAAGAATCCGCCTGCGCAGAGACACTGGAGCAGACGCGGGAGAAGCTGCAGCAGGATCTTGCGCGATTGAGGTGTCTGCATGGTTCGGTGACTTGCGATAAGACTTCTTCGAGCTTGGCGCGGTAGCAGCTCATCCCTGCACAGGCTCTTCCATGAGGTGATGCTGCAACTTCACCGTGGCGATTTCAAGCCGCTTCCGGGCACCAAGCCTTCCGGGAAGGTGACCTCCGCAGCCTCGGGAGGTCGAGTGCCCCGAGTGCAGATGCCCGAACTGGAGGCCAAGCTCAAGGCGATATGGCGGTTCGGCACACGTCCTAGTCTAGAGCTCGAAGGTAGTATCTGACGGAATTTCGTCGGGACACTTCACGTCAGATTGGTGCTGGGGAGACAGCAGAAGCTGCAGAGAAGTTGCTACTAGCCAAAGGTGTAACTCTAGTGACGCCTTCTCGCAGCACCGTTGCTGGCCGTTGTGCCAGGCTGGTGGCTGGCAGGGGATGACTCAGCCGCTGGTTTTTGATCGGCCTCCGGATCTCTGTCCCTGTTACACAACTCGTGATGCCCTGCTGTCCAAGGAAGCGGTGGGTTGCAAAGTACTGTAAAGTGAGTCTACAGTTTCACGGATGTTGAAGTTTGAGCCGTCCGCAAGTTTCATCGGGGTGCATCTAGTGGCATGCCTTGGAAGGCTCGGGCCACCGCAGGATTTCCAACTGCCACAGTTCTCAGCGATCCTCTCGCAGCACAGTTTGGACCGTCAATGCTTGGCGATGACCGGCCGTTCCAAGAGGCTTCTGGTAAGGGGAACTGTTTTACACAACTGCAAGCCGGAAGCCTTTCACCAGGCACAGTGCCGTGGGATTGTTGGCAATCCATTCCTGAATGGATGCGCTGTTCCATGTTGGTGGTGTCGACTGGTCCAGGCGGAAACGGGGTCGCATTCCACAAGCATGGAACGGCCTGGCTTGCACTTCAAGAGGGCCGGAAAAGGTGGTGGCTCTATCCTCCCAGCGGTCCCCCGACAAGGGAGGCGTACGAAGCACTTGCTCTCTGCCCAGCCGCCGAACTGTCGGAGGTCGTTCAAAGACTCCCACCGGAGCAGCGGCCGCTGGAGATCCTCCAACATGCTGGCGACTGCGTGTTCGTCCCGGCTCTGTGGTGGCATGCTACCTACGACGAAGTACCAACTCTTGGCATAGGCTCTCAGTTTAGCATGGCGGAGGTTGACATCCTTAAGTGTCAGCAGCAGTACCCGCAAAGCGCTTTTGCCTTGTACCATGCTGCTTGTGAGATCCACAAGACGGAGGAGAAGAAAGCTATGGAGCTCTTTGAAGCTGCCATCGAGCGTGAGCCTCTGAACTTCTACTTTGCTACAAACCAAGTTCTGTTTTACCTCAACATGGTGTTCCATCCACGTCTTACCATTTCCATAATCCTTCGTCTTCTGGGACGAATCAAGCAGCTGGACCGACGGCGACAGATGATCGTGCAAAGGTTCTTTATTCCCACAATATGTAACTTCGTTGAATGGCACGTGCCTCACGACCGGCTACTGAAATATTCTGTTGAGGCAACAGACCATGCATTGGAATCTTTAGTCTCGCTGCTGCAGCCATTGCTGCCGGGAGGTGAGGACTTTCGGCTGGGAAACGGTTTGCCTTGGAATCTGGTCCACCTCTTGGAGTATCCCTCGAAGTGCTTTCATTGCGGCGCTGTTGCACACGGGAAACCTGGAGAAGCCGGCAGTGTTCGCGCCCACCGTTTCTTCTGCCTGCATTGCACAGCAGCACGATCTGCGGCTTGCTGCCGGCATTGTGGTGCAGTTGACGTTGCAGGACAACTCGGCAGGCCAGACACTGCCTTCGCGCAGAGTTGGTACTGCTCATCCTGCTGGTTGGCGTGCAAGACAGGAATGGACTTTTCGCGGGCAAAGAACCGGCATCTTCTGTATGGTCAGCAGCAAACGCTTCTGGCAGAGGTTTGGGAAATCGCGGATTAGCGCAGGATTCGACCAACAGAAAGTGAGGGGTTTATTTTGAAGGCGACGACTTCGGAATGCCGCAAGCTTGCAGGGAATCGGTGCTGTGCATATTTTGTTGTCATCCCGTGGCCAGGTTCAACTCAAAGGCTCTGCCGAGCAGATCCGCAAGGCTGCATTGAACGCATTGGACAGTCGTGACTTTTCGACGAAAGGGTGGGAACCGGATTGCATCGTTTTGGAGCAGGTCACGCAAGGTTGCCCTAAGTCGTACTGGAGATGCGCAGATGTTGAGATGTGCAGAGGTCGTTGTTGCAATTCCTGCACGGATTCAGTCTAAATTCCACGAACGTTATCACGTGGATCGGCCTTTGCCTTTGCAATTCACTTCAGGCCCAGCGCTTGCTCCAGCGTGTGCTGATGCACTGTGCTGCCCCGAGAAGAAGAGGACGTATCGCCCCCCCTTCCAAACAAGAAAAACGCATACGCACGTACACTGCCGGCGTGGGAGTGGGGAGCGGCCTGAGGCAACTGGGGCCGCAGCGAGGCCAAGGTCCGGCGACTCCTGAAACCGAAGCCCTGAGCCTAGACTAGGCTCCTGTTGGTGGACTGTGGACTGTGGACCGTAGGCTTCCAGCGCTTTGGAAATCTTGTCCTCAGGATAATCGAATCAGCCGTTCTGCGGCTGTCGCCGATGAATACTTTGCCTGCTGGACAGAAAACGCTCAGCCAGACTCAGACGGAACCTCAGAGAAGAGCACATACAGACATCTCTTGCAGCTGATGCTGGGTTGATTTGAGAGGCCTGTGATCTCGATCGGTGGGAAACCCAGTGTGTGTGTGTGTGTCTGGCCATCAGCACATGTGATGGCCCCGGCACATTCATCGACATCGACACCTTCGTTGGCAAAGCGAAGAATGCCGGGTCCAGTGGGAAGAGGGAATCGCGCGGTGTTTTAGAACACTCTGAAAGTCCAAGCCTAACTTGTGAGATTTCGGACTTCTGCTACAAGATATTTACGGGCACACCAAAGTGCGATCTCCGATGTCCACATCATTGTCCATGCCCCTTTTGGGACTTAAGCAAACGCACGGTCTTGTCTCCCGAAGTGTGCACCGATCTGTAGAGGCGGGCTTGTTGGCCAGCCCTGCAAAACAAAAGAAGCAAGAAGCAGACTTCCCCGGCTTGCCCTTTTTTGCCGAGTTGTCCCAGCCAAGGCAAGGACAAAAAAATCAACGACATCGTGATCCCTGCAGCCATTGTCTCGCGACAGGCTCGAGAGTTCGAGAGAACGCACCTGTCGGGAGTTAGAAAGCAGTGAGCGGCTTGGATTCGCCTTGACAGCACTGTGTCCTCGAGCTGGACATCGACCGAGGCGCCATTTATGCTCGGGGCCTGACATTGGAACTGCAGAGCAATACCCACTCACAGCAGTGCGTTGCTTTGCGTTGCTTTGAGCTTGGAAACGACCGTTCGGCTTTCGGCTCTCCCGAGATGTGGAAGGAGCTCAGGGGATGTTTGCCTCGCGCCGCCAGAAACGATGTGAGGGGGAGCAGAGACCGCCTCGGTCTCGGCCCCAATACGGGGCAGCCAAAGCGGCTCTGCCTGCGCTGAGCATTTGTCGCTTGGAATCACCGGAAGAGATTTTGAAGAAACTTCGACAGCATGCAGAAGATCCCGCAATGGCCGAGTTCACTTGCCCCATTTGCTGGGAGCCCTTCTGGCAGCCAGTTCGGACTGTATGTGGCCATGCCTTTTGTGAGGGTTGCTTGTTGAAGTCTGTGCTGGCACAGCTGGGTTACGATCAGCCAGATGTGTCCTGTCCAATGTGTCGGCATCCGCTGCACGTAGAAGATGTAGCTGCAGACGAGGCACTTCTGGCACGAATCAGATTGGTGGTAGCCCAGAAAGCTCGGGAATCAGAATCTCAAAGCAGGGGGCATCCGGGCCGCTTGTACCGTGGATCGACTCGCTCTCCCATTGCCGAACAGACTCCGTCAAACCCCGGATCGCTTCATTGCACTGGGCAACCTTGCACGCCTGCATTGGTCGACTGGCCAGCTCGAGCTCAAAGCTCAGGTGCACAAAGGACGCAATTTCCAGGAAGCTGGATGAGGGTGGCTCCCTCTGATTCGAGACCTGCGACCTCTGGCTGCGTAGTCGCTTCCCATAAGAGCGCTTTCTGGTCGCAGAGCTTTTCCGCCCGTCCCTCCACATCGGGAGTCTCTGAAGTATGGGGGGCCCGTGGTGAGGCGCCGGAAGAGGAAACGGTGGTCACTCCACTCTGGCCAACTTGGCCGGCCCCTGCGAGGATGCAGGCAAACCTGGTGAGTGAGGTGAGCGAGGTTGGCGACCGCGATCGCGCGGATCGAGACAAACATGGTTCAGTGACCGATCGACTTCATTCTTTGGTCAAGCCGCAGACCCCTCGAACTGCACAGCACAAGCAGCGACCCAGGTCTCAGCCTTCGAAGCAGGGAAGCCGTCCGAGCCGTGTGCTGCCACATCAGCCACATCCACCAGAGCTGCCGTCTTACAGGGCTCCTCTAAGCTCGAGAGGCCCGAGACCGAAGAGGCCGTTCTGTGAACACAACCATGGCACCGCAAAGGAAAGCTAGGAATCTAAGGATCCCTGCCTCGTCCAAGTTGACTCACCTCGAAGCGACTCGTGATACGGAGTCCTGCCTGCAGGACGCGAAATCACTCCCAGACAGCGGTGCCCATGAACGACTCAGCTTCGCTGCCACAGGCAGGTCAAGGGCGGAATCGCCAAGTTCCGCTCAATTATGCCAGAGAATTTTGGATTTCATGCTCAAGTTTCTGTTTGATGCAGAGGATGTGTGAGTAGGTGCAATAGGTGTGGGTGATCGTGACTTCTCTTGCCCCAAGGAACCGTTTCGGTGCTGGGAAGCTGGCTGACTGTGAGGACAAGGATCTACGTCCGAGCTTGGAATGCAGTACAACACAAACAAACGACTCACGAAGCAGTCACAGTTTGTGGCTTAGCCCATGCTTGCAACATGCAGGCCAGTCATGGAGCGTCAGGGTGCTCGATCGTAAAAATGGTTTTAATCGTCCACACGCCATCAAAAAACTTTGCTTAGCGCTCCGGGCAGGGGTAGGGAGCTGGAACGATGAGCCAATGTAGTTTTCGGTGGAAGATACGGCCATGGAGTTTTGTATGGTTTCGTGCAATATTGTGCCGTTGGCTCCAAACCAGAATACTGACCGAAAAATGGCTCTGTGTCCCAAAGGGAGTGGGCCTGACGAGGGAGCAATCTTTCGAAGAAAATGCACCGCCGTGCACGCAGTGCAGACATCGCATTCAGTTTCGCCCCAAGAAATGGCATGAAGAAGATGATGCCAGCTACCAGTAGAGATAGCATGGAGATACCTAGAAGCGAAAACTGTGCTGCAGATGGGAAGCGCAGCAAGACAGAGAGTCGAATTGCAGACTGCTTTGTTCCAATTCCTGCGGCCTGGAGGCGGAAAAGGCTATTCGCTTGAATCTTGGTCCTGAGGTCATTGACTGCAGCACAAACGGCACTTTCCTGAATGGCTTGCGGCTGCCACCGAGAACTACCGGGAAGGCACCGTTTGCGGCAGCTGACTCTCGTTGGCCGAAACAAAACCTTTTGGCTTGCAAGTGCAGGCCCGCAGAAAACAAAATTTCAGGTGCTTGTCTCCCACGGAGACGAGCTCCTGCTACAAGACCCGGCCAATGACCAGGAGTCAGCCACTCTAAAAGCTGGTACCTCACCGACGCCAGCAGATGCCTGGTCTCTCGTGCTGAGGTTTGGCTATGTTGTGAATATCCAAGAGCTGAATGTCCGAGAGCAAACGAAGCTGCAGGTGTCGTGCCGTCACAGATTTCGTTTGGCGCGGTCTCAAGAGTCGGTGCTTGCCGCTTTCCAGGCTCCACGGCGTCTTCTCTCCACCGAGGAGTCCGGCAGCCGAGTTGTACCAGCCGCCTGCAGCTTTTCACTTTCCACTGTGCTTCCCATCAGGTCTTCAACCATGGGCCGTGACTTCTACTGAGCCCTTTGCGCGTCTTAGCCACCACAGCATCAACATGTACGATGCAGGCAAAAGTCATATGATCAGGACTCATCCAAACACGCGAGCTTCGAACAATGTGACGAAACGAGTATGGCTCCATAGCCGAGACCTTCGCATCAGCCGCGCATTACGAAGTATATAAGACTATGGCCCGCCTGGTGCCGAATGCATGGCTGGTGAAGGCAGCTGCAGCAGGAATTTGATCGACCCGGTTCATTCTCTCTTGTTGACGGTCGGCTCAATGTGATTTGAAACAGTGGTGCCTCAGCCGCTATTATTTACTGCATCTGACAAGTCAGACTCGGTATTCACATGTCTAGGGAACAAATATGAAGGGGCCCGAGCAGGCACTATGCTCCTTCGAAGTTCAAATCGCGTTCGAACCTTGTCGGGCAAACTCTCACCAAGTGCATAAAATCCAGATCCGCTTTGCTTTCGATTCTAGCTCTACGCGTAGCTTCCGAAGCCATTGCCGGCAAGGCAGGGCTGGTACTTTACTGAATTGCACGTTCGAGTTGTGTGCCACGGCCTCTCCGTCACGATTCCTCCGCCTGTGTGCAGGCCCATGGCGGCGGATGCGGCAAGAGATGAGGTTCAACGAATTGAATAGCTGTCAGGTGTCAAGTTTCAGCGTGTGTGCTTGGTGTGCGGCCTTCAGGCCATGGCCTTCGAGACCTGTTTGGCACAAGGCAGGCTGCACCTGAAGCGTTCCTACTAGATGCAATCCTCGGGCGGGGTTGCCGGGCGTGCGGTTCAGGCCCCAGCTCCTATCAAGAAACTGAGCTGGACCATTCCGAGCATCCTGGCTGCACGGACGACGGAGGACGGTGGCATTGTGAAATGTGTGGTCGCACCCAGGGCTCGGTCGAGGTGGTGCTGCTTGAGACAGAATCTGCCCGCAACAGTTTGCTTAGTGATGATTGGTGCAGTCAAGGCTCGTCGGAGTTGCCGATTCAGCGTTGTACAGCTGTCGGACAAGTCCACCCATGGTGCATGCTGCAGCGCAGGTGGCTTGCACAAATGCCTGGCGCCTAATGGGTCAGTTGCTTGTGGACCTGTGGATGGTGTTGGTTCTTGCGCTGTGGTCCCAGGTGGGCAACTTTTTCAGGTGCATGCTGGGTACTTTCTGGCAGAGGCTGGATCTTCGATCCATCGGGGATTGAACAGGCACCAAAGGCGTGTTGCGCATCGCAGGTCGCCGCCGCTACTTAGCCTGCCTGTGTCCAGCCGGGACACAGACATTTCAGGCGTGGTTTTATATAGGGGCCCGAGGTCGCGAAGAACCTTCGCTTCAGCTGTTGAGGTGAAAACCTTGATGAAGAAGTTTCGCGAGACGAGATTTCGCCACGACCTGTGGCCAGCCTGGAGGGAACGAGTGGGGCATCTCCCTCGCGGCCGGGGCCGCCTGGAAAGACGCTGATAGCTGGATTCTATTTGATACCTGGCCAGTTCTAGAGCCTAGAGAATGTGAGATACCTTTTTGATGGCACCCTTTTTTTGCAGATGTCAGTTCTTAAGGAGCGACTGGCAGCTTCCGCCTGGACTCGGCAACAGGAACTTAGACGAAGTGGTTGCCGAGGTCGAGAGATCTTGTGCCAGAGTGGGACCTATAACTCGGCAGCAAGCTTTGCGACTAGTTATAGGCATGGGCTACAATGCAGAAGCAGCCGTAGACAAGTGGCGAGACGTGGTTTCCTGGAGACGGGAGCATCACATGGATGCCGTTCGCGCACGCCTGCTTGGTGCAATGTGCAGCCAACACCCAGTGCGTTTTTCACACGAAATTGACGTGTACAGCAAGCTATTTCGTGGTTGTCCATGTGCCCTTTTGACTGCGGATGGCCGCCCAGTTTCGGTATGGCACGCTGGTGCCACAGATATGGCTCGGGTGGGTGAGTTGCCGGCAGATCATTGCCGGAGATGGAGCCAGGAAGTTTTTGAGTACGCCGATCTGTGGATCGCAAGAGAGACTGAGAGGACCAGATGCCTCAGTGGCTACCTCCAAGTCTATAACATGCAGGGCCTGAGCCTGCGACAGGTGACTTCTCCGGAAGTGAAAGATAGACTGAAGGCTGCTCTGTCTGCAGGCGGCTTCTATGTTGAGGCAGTGGCGCACATTTACGTGGTGAACGCTTCGCGGCTCTTCTCCATGGCCTGGAAGCTCATCCGCGGTTTCCTGTCCCCTTGGACGGCTTCGAAGATCACAGTTTCCAGCACAGTTCCGGACGAGCTAATTGCAACCTGGCAGCTTCAGGGAGGTTGCGTGTTCTTGGCAGACTTGAGTGTGTCCATGATGTCCATGTCAAAGGCTTGTTGCATGGCCCTGCGAGGCAGACTTGGGAGGACCCTCTTCGCAGTCTTCGGAGATCCTGCACAGGCTGCTTGCGGCTGCTGCTGCTGCCTCGACCAGTTCGGAGCCGTGTCTGGCACCGGTGCAGCGGCCACATGCTGAGAACTCACGTAGGGCCTCGGAGGAAACCGCCAGCACGGCCACGGCCACAAGCGCGGGATGCGACGGCTTCGAAGCGACGGCTGAAGCGATCCTGCACTCGAGCGAGGAGGCTTTGGAACCAATTCCAGATATTCCCGGGGCCTTGCATGTCGCAGGGTTCTTCTTGCGACCTGACCAACTCCCACCTGGTTTGGAGGATAGGGATTTGGACGCTCTGGTCGAGGATGTGCACAGGTCGTGCTCGCAGGTGGCACCACTCTCCAGGCAGCAAGCCTTGAGACTCACACTGGGGATGGGCTACAACCCACATGCCGCTCTCGCGAAATGGAAGGAGGTAGTGGAGTGGCGGAGGACCCACAGCATGGCTCTTGTCCGGCAGGACCAGGCCGACAAAATGCGCGACACAAGCGATGTGAAGTTCCCGCATCAGGAGGAGGTGTTTGCAAAGCTGGTGTGTGTTAGCCCATGTGCTCTCGTTGCAGCAAATGGCACGCCCGTATCAATTTGGCATGCTGGAACATTGAACGTGAGTGCAGCGGCTTCTCTGCCATCTGAGAATGCCTCTCGATTGCACTTTAGATATACAGCGGAGCGTGTCTGGATCGCAGGTGCAACTTGGGCAACGTAACGTAGCTGATGAAGCCTCAAGCTTATCTCACTATGGCATTATGGCACCTTCTTCCATCAAATGGCACCAAGCACTGGATAACTAGCAGTCAAATCTGGGACTGTGAAGACCACATGTGGTGCGAAGACAGGAAGCCAAGCTTGCCACATGCTGACTGCCCAAACTCAACAAGAGTTCAACGATTTTTCAAGGCATAAACGGACGCCGCGGGAAGGCTTGGTCCTGAAGAGGGATGTCTTGCAGTAGGCCGACGGCCAATCGGCTCGTTTCCCTTTTGCGTTTCCAAGGTGGCGCGCTGGAGCCGCGCAGTGTTTGAATACAAAGACCTCTGGATCAGCCGGCGGAGTGAGCAGCACAAAAGGCTTCTGGGATACATTCAGGTGTACGACATGCAGGGATTAACCTGGCGACATTATTCTTCGCGGGAGATTGCAGACAAGCTGAAGACGGCCTTGCAGTCTGGGAGCTTCTATGTCGAAGCAGTCAGCCACATGTACGTCATCAACGCGTCCAGACTCTTCTCCATGGTCTGGAAGGCACCTTACCCACTTGCAGGAAAAGCTGCTTTGGGGGTCCTTTCGAAATTTTTGACTCGTGCGAGGTGGTTCGCAATCTAATTTCTCCGTGGACTGCCTCGAAAATCTCTGTCTCCAGCGGAGTTCCAGATGACCTCATTCACAGCCTAGGCTGGGCTTGCTGTCAGGCTCTATCTATTGAAGTATGGCTTGAGGGGATTCGCAGTCTATAACCATGCTCTTCTTTCTGCTCAGGAGGGCCTACGGCGTCTGCAGCACGGCGGTTCCGGCAGCTCATAGCCAGGCCTGGGTAGCAGTGCACTCTTGAAGCACATCGCTGATGGCCGCAGGAGCCCGGAGGAAGCTGCGAAAATGACGTCGGTTCTACGGCCTCCTGGGCAGGCCAGCTACTTCTTTTGTCCGATTCTGCCTCTCAGAGCCTCTGCAATCGCTGCAAGACAGATGCAAACCGCTCTGCAGCCATTTGGGCTTTTGTGGGCTGCCCACTCTGAGCAAGGCGCCTGCAGGCGAACTGGCGTAGGGGCTCTCCATGATAGACGCGAATCCAGTGTCACTGGACATGGTGCTGTTTTCGCCTGCTTCACCAGATCCGCATGCAGAGGGCAGGGCCGAGAGGTGCCAATGAAACGGATAGATGCCTCAAGTCGACGAAGACATGATAGACCCGGAACTGGGGTCGCTGCATGAAACATTCGGGACGCCGCCCAGGTCTCGGAGAGCTGCAGTGCAAAGACTTTACGCCAGAGGGGAAGATTCGTCCACGTGAGTCACCAGCAGATACTCCCAAAAGCTCTGAGCTTCGTCGAGTTCTAGCGCTGCTGGCAGCATCGCCGGCTGCGACGGTGCCCGGCGTGCCGTCGCCAAACTGCTTTTGCGGACCCGTACATTGGTCCAAGCAGGCTCCCCAGTGCTCCGAGTGCCAGTCTGGACATCGTGAACATCCCAGTGGAGGAGTTCGAGGCCATGTACAAGCTGGCGGACTTGCCTGCAGAAGCAAGGCACATACTGGTGCTGACTTACCAATTGGCGTTAGTGGAAATGGAACCGCGAGCTTCTCTGTGGATGGCACGAAACAAGGAGAAGGTCCGGGTGTGGATGGAGAAAACAGGCCGCCCCTGAACGATCCCAATGCGAGATGAAGGGAGGTGCTTGATGACGCTCTCGCATTGGGATCGTTCAGGGACGGCCTGTTTCTCCATCCACACCCCGACCTTCACCTATGCAGCAGCACAAACAACCGTCCAGCGGTCGGTAACTAATAACAAAGAATGTGATACTCAGAGCTCAGAGGCAAAGAATGTTCACATATGCACAACTCGGCTCAAATGCGCCGTCTATTGCCACGGCGGGGCTCTAAGCCCTC